AAGGTGACAAGGATGGAGATGGGGCAAGGTGACCAGGACAGGACAGAGCAAGGTGACAAGGATGGAGATGGGGCAAGGTGACCAGGACAGGACGGAGCAAGGTGACAAGGATGGAGACGGGACAAGGCAAGGTTCAGATCTGCTGTTGGTAGGATCGCCGTGTGTCCTGTTCAACTTCAGGGCACCTACACCACCACCACCACCACCGGACAGGAACACACCCTAGTTGGCACACCCCCGGGGCACACACAAGAGGAAGCCCACTTCCCAAAGCAGGAAACTGAGGTTTCGGGTGGAAGTGACTCAGCCCAGGTCGGGGAGGGCCTTGAATAACCCACCCAGCCAGCCGAGGGGAGGGCCTCAGGGCCTCATTGGAGGCTACTTCCCTGCCAGATGCTGGGGGCCGAGGGGGAGGCTTAGTGAGGGGGCTAGAAACAGGGACATACACTGACATGTCAACAGGCCACCCACCCACCAGGTTGAGTCCACGTCACCGTGGGGGGACCAAGGTGCCCTTAACAGAAACGTCCAACAAGCACCATGTCCTATGTCTGCCTGTGAGGAGACCCACGGCCTCTGGCTGGAACCAGGTGGAGGTGCTCAGGGCGATGATAGTAACAACCCCAGCACAGTCCTAACAGGAGCCCTCAAAGGTGCAATAGGTAAGGATCACGGTTCCAGGCCACCCAGCTGCTGCTTGGAGCGAGGCCCCGTGATCTGCTGACCGCAGAGACCCTGAGGGGCTGTTCTCTGTCACACTGGACTCCCCAACACCCAACAACAACAACAAAACAGCCAAGACCAGGCCCAGTGCACAGGAGCTGATTCTGCCGGGTGACCCTCCCTGGGTGGGCTCCAGGTGAACCGCCACAGGAAGGAACACCCCCCTGCTGACCCGCCGGGCTCCCAACAAGGTAACAGTAACACGACGAGGATTAGTTGTGCGGATAAAATCTGGCTCCCAAAGCACTAAGACGTCAACAACGTGAAGCTAATTGAAAAGAAGACTGGGAACGCCATCTGCTCAGCCCCTCCCAGGGCCGGGACAGATGGGGGGAGCTGCAGGCAGCCAGGGTCTGCGCCCCTGCTGGGGTTCCCAAAAGCGGGGTTCAGGGGGAAGTCAACGAGTAAACACAAGTGGTCACGCCTCCAGCCACCGAGGGGCGGACAGACAGGCTCCAGTTCGCCCGGGCGTGACCCCCCATTTAATCTGGGTGTTTACTCGGGAGACAAAGAGCCCAGTGTAGCCGGAAAGGGGAGCTGGTCACCCCGGATGGGCGTCCCCGCGCGGCCCACCCCGGCCGGCCAGTGCCCGGGGGAGCCGACAGCTGCGCCCCCCACCCGCACG